AAGAAGTGTGTACACTGCCAGAGAATCACACTTGGGAACAACGGAGAGACAGGAGAAGGACATCCTGAAAGTTCTAAAAGAAAAACTACCAAGCTATGTGGAGAGGAAATGCTTCTTTTTTGAAAGATGAGGTTGAACAAATCAATTTTTAAAAGCACAGAAGGTGAAAAGAATCCATCCTCCACAGACCTATACTTTAAGAAATGTCAAATGAAGTCCTTCAGGCTAATCAACACAGATAACAGACAAAAGTAGGGACTTCCCAGTGCAATAAATCTATGGAAAAGTCCAAGAAGCATAAGGAATGGAAAGTACATTGAGAACCAACTAAATGAACCCATCCTGGTTTCCATATCAGAACCAACAGAGTTGAATACAGCAGAGAGAATTTCTCCAAGACTTACTTACATAGACAACTACGAATAAAGTTTGATTAATTTTAACATTCCTGAATATCTTTGTATGTTCCTGTTCATACGTTTTTATGAATTATATGCAAATATCTCCAGCTACAGAAACATATTTTCATTGGTACTGGACCTGTACATCTTTTTAAAATTTAAACGACCCCTTTCATTTCTGGTAACAAAAGATCCTTACATTCCTCCTTTTAATCAACAGATATGAGAAACCAGGTCCAGTGGACTGAGATTGGCTAGAATAGAAGAATAGAGAACTTGGCTATGGAAACCTGGAACTTCAACCTCAGACCTGTTTTCCCCCCTCATCTTCTAGGGGCAAATGCTTTCTAGAGTTTCCATGCTGCCTCTAGGATTAGCGAACTAGGTTTTCCCGCAAAAAACATTATCAAATAAGCAAACTACATTCTTAATGTAAAAAACTGACAGAAGAGAAGGGGTATTTAAATAAATCTTATTATATTTTAATATTTTCCTACGGTCAAGTCAATTAATTCTAAATATTGAAAGTGTTTCAGTTCATTTCCTAATACTGTCGTGTGAATTTCTTGCCCCTTCTGTGCACCATGGTGGCTTTGACCCTGTACATACATCCTGAACACAGGAAGGCTTTAGCTGCTTAGTACGATGGTGCTCAGTGTCTCATGCACTATCCCATTTCCACATTGGCCAAGCCAACTGCACCCTGGAATTTCTCAGAAAACTTCCTGCCAGGAGGGTTCCAGTATTTGTGGGTGAGCATGGATTCTGTGTATTTGAGAGTAACGGTATTCTTCAGTATGTAAGCAAGGAGGAGCTGCCAGGAAGGACTCCAGAAGCATCGGCTCAGGTGGTGATTGGGTGAGCTTTGCCAACTCCCTATAGTACCTGAGTGCTACCCACGTTGGGCATCATGTACAACAAAACAAGAAACTGAAAACGCTCCCACTTGAAGACTAGGGGTCTTCATGATTGTGAGTAAGTGACATCAACATGTATCACAGCAGTCTGCACCCTGCTGTGGCTCTATAAATAGGTCTTAGAACCTTCTTTTCCCAGGCCTTCCCTAATACCAAAGGCGGGATTTTTGCCTGCATTAATCAGACCCATTTCAGGGCTTCATTTCTGAAGTTGTGTGAGCAGATTGCCTAGTTTGGTGCCCACAAGTTTGCCTAATGCCTATCTAAAAAGGATACACCAAGGAAAGAAAAGGATTCACAGGAAGAGAAAGAGAAGCCCGAGGCTGGGCAGAAAGAGTACAAAAAGGCAGCTACTTCAGCTCCTGAGGGGACAGATTAATGTGAGTAGGACCTGGCTGCTGAACCCGAGGCCAAGCGTTCCTCAGCTCACCTGTCCAACAATACCTTGGGGTTGGATGAGTACAAGAGTAATTATGCATTTAGACTAAAGTCCTTCTATTGCTAGATCCTGGGAGCCTCTACCTTCCCTGGCACCTGGAACCCTACAGTGGCTATCCCCAGTTCCTCATCCCGCACTGCTATGCTGGAGCAGTGGGGCAGGAGTGGGTGATTGGATGGGTGGTTGCATGGGTGGGGGAACAGCCTCATGGAGGCAAAGGGGAAGGGAGAAAGGGTAGATGGGTTAGGGGGATTGTGGAGGGGTAACCTGGAAGAAGGATACCATTAGAGATGTAAACGACAGGAATGGTTAATAGAAAGAAAAAGAATGAAAGAAAGAAAGAAAGAAAGAAAGAAAGAAAGAAAGAAAGAAAGGAAGGAAGGAAGGAAGGAAGGAAGGAAGGAAGGAAGGAAG